AGCGGTTAGGAGTGGCTGATGGTGTGAGTTTGTTTTGAGACTCACTAGACCCGCTAGGAAAGAAATTCAGTAGAGTAGTACTGAAATATATTAAGCTGCTGTGATGAAACATGCCAAAGCCTGTGTACATGTCTGGACCATGCCTAAATTTTGTTTGTATCATAAATTACTTAAGAAAAAATCTGTTCCTATGACTGGTTCTTACATGAGGCCCATAGTGTAGTTTTAGCCAACGCATTGCCCAGAGACACGGACTGTAAAAGTTGAGTTGTCTCACATACAGCAACACATCACATGCGGCAGACACACTGGCCTCGATCAGTCAAAACAAACAGGTACTGTGCTCTGGGGGGAATCCAGCATTGATGAGCTGATCATTCACCGCTGCGGGGAGCTTCACTGGCTGGTTAGACCCAGTCAGGTACGACAGCCAGTCCCTGTACAGAAACATTCCCAGACATGCAGTAACCTCAGGCCCTGTATTTTTCTCCACATCCTCTGGTCACAGTGCAGCAGCAGGAGGGAAAATGTATCCACAAAACCGGACACAGTCAAAAAAAATTCCTCAAATCAAGGAAATTCTTCAAATGCCACGTAATACTTTATTTTGTTAGAAAAAGATGTGTATAAACTGAGTTGCTTCTGTATAAAGTTACTAGAACATACATACACTTCATTCTTTTGAGCTTTAGGTCATGTCTAAGATGATAATTCACCATTGTAACATTGTAGATAAGTCAGAAAACAAGGAAAAGCATGCTATGGGCTCTTTAAGTGTTAGTACAGCATGCTGAATATTGGTAAAACTAGGGCTTAGGACATTTGGCACCATCCTCTCAGTAATCTTCCTTAGGATGACAGAAATATCCTTAAAAATTACCTTGAGTAATCCTTGCTGACTGACCTGTATCTTTTTGTCCAGATTGAAGCCCAGATATACTACAGAAAAGTCCATACATATGCTTCCAACATAAAGTAGATCGGTGTGCCTTTTATTGGTGAATATTAAAATAAATTCAATTTCAGTACATGAGACTGGTTCACAAGGACATTTAGAGGGAGGGAAGTCTGGTTTTATAGATAACGGCTTAATGCCTCTAGCCCTTTGTCATGAGATGTATTTAAAACCTTTCTACATTAGTTACATGTATAGAAGTAGAGAATGTTACCACATTTACATTGTGAGGCTAGGTTCAATAACAAACACCACTCTGCTGTATCCTATAAAAAAAAAAAAATTAAAAAAAAGCACAGCTTATGTAGAGTATGTTTCCTACTTTAAGATGGCTTGTGACTGAAAAACTTGTCTTAATGAATAAATAATGCTGATATTAGTGTATGTTAGAATAGTGTACTCTGCTTTGTCTTGTTGCTCCTGCACTTTCACCAAGCCTTTATGTGTAAACATTACATTTCTCATGCTGAAGTTGACGTGTAAAATGTCTTCTAAAGTCAAGTGGCCTTTTACTCTTTCCGCTATCTGCATTTTGAGGCTCTGTAAACATTGTGCAATGGAGATGGTACAAGATCTGTTATGCTCTTTTCTGTTAAATTAGTGTACAGTCATGTCCAAAAATATTGGCAGCCCTGCATTTCTGTCAGATAATAAACCACTTCTCCCAGAAAATTGTTGCAATCACAAATTATTTTGTATGCTCATGTTTATTGCTTTTGTTTGCACTGGAACAACACAAAAAGCCACACTGGCCCATTCCACACAGAACTCCAGAAATGCACTGGACAGAATTACTGACACCTTTTCAAAACCATCAGGAATAGTTGTATTTCAAGCATGTGATGCTCCTTTGATTTTTAATGAAACCTACCTGTAGCAATCAGCAGGTTCTGGCAACATAGAAATCAAACTTGCAGCCAGTTAAAATGGAGAAAAGTTGACTCAACCTTTGTGTTGTGTGAACCACACTGAGCATGGAGAAGAGAAAGAAGAGCAAAGAATTATCTGAGGATTTGAAAACTACAATAGTGGAAAAGCCTGGACGGTCTCAAGGCTCCAAGTCCATCTCCAGAGATCTGGCTGTTCCTGTGTCCACTGTGATCAACATTGTCAAGAGGTTTACAGCCCATGGTGCTGTAGCTAATCTCCCTGGACGTGGACGAAAGAGAAAAATAGATGACAGATTGCAATGAAGGATTGTTCGAATGGTGGATAAAAGAACCTCGATCAACTTCCAAACTAATTCAAGCCAACCTGCAGCCACAGGGTGCAACACTGTCAGCTCACACTATCTGTCACCATCTGAATGACAAGGCAAGCTAATGTAAGGAAACCCACTGTGACCCACTAGTGACACAGAAAAAAAAAAACCCAGACTGGAGTTTGCTAAAACTTACCTGAGGAAGCCACAGTCCTTCTGGGAGAAGGTCCTGTGGACAGATGAGACTAAGAGCTTTTTGGTCGAGCACATCATTGTACTGTTTTCAGAAAATGAAATGAGGCCTTCAAAGAAAAGAACACGGTTCCTACAGTCAAACGTAGAGGTTCACTGGTGTGTTGGGATTGCTTTGCTGCTTCAGCCACTGGATGTCTTGATTGTATGTATGGCATTATGAAATCTGAAGACTACCACTGAATTCTGGGGCATAATGTAGGGCCCAGTGTCAGAAAGTTGGGTCTCCTTCAGAGGTCATGATTCTTATAGCAGGACAATGACCCAAAGCAGACTTCAAAATTCACCAGAAATGGATTCAGACAATGTGCTGGAGAGTTCTGAAGTGGGCAGCAATGAGTCCAGATCTAAATCCCATAGACCACCTGAGGAGAGATCAGCAGCTGGGAGAAGGAACCCTTCAAATCTGAGACCTGGAGCAGTTGGCAACAGAAGAGTGGTCCAACATTCCAGTAGAGAGGTGGAAGAAACTCACTGATGGTTACAGGAATGTTTCAGTTATTTTGTCCAAAAGGTATGCTACCAGTTGAGGGTGTCAGTAATTCTGTCCAGTCTGTTTTTGGACTTTAGTGTGGAATGTATTAGATTTGTCTTTTTGTGTCATTCCAATGCAAACAAATAACATGAGATTACCAAAAAATTTGTGACAATATTTTTTTGCCATGACTGTACATCTAACATGTTATTTTACTCTGTGTATACCAACAAAATAGTAATTGACCTATTTCTGTAGATTGTTTGTTTTTGTTGTTGTGATTATTAAAAATCTGCAGCATAGTCTACCCAAAATCACCACTTGCAAACACAGTTACTGCCAAAATGCTAAAGTTTTGATTTGATTTATTCTTTCAAGCATGTAAAAACAGTTATGTCAACACACATAATTTTACACATATCCAACAAATGCTAATCCAATATCAATTTGCTTATACCTGCTTGAATGGAGTAGGAAGAAGTCAGACTTATCCAGTCCTACCCCATGACATCATCTTACCATCATTGGTTTGCAAGCAGTATCTCTACATAGATAATTCTCTTCTACACCACACAAGTAATATACTAAAAAATTATAACAGAGTGTTAACATTCATACCACACCCACAATGTTCCATCTGGTTAATCATTAAGCCTGTTCTTGCATAAATCTTGATTGACACATACCTTTATATTTATGTTTAAACTCGTCAATTCTATTACTATTTTTTATGTCTGCACTTAGATTATTCCACAGTTTTACCCCACTTATGGAAATACAAAATCTTTTTTTGGTTGTACGTAAAGTTAGTGTGTGTAACTGTAATGTTTTTGTTACAGTTGACCTTGAAGGTTAAGTGTTGTCAAAGTCGATGTACGGTGTTTTCAGGTTATTAGCAAGGCTGTTTTGGGGTCAGAACATGTGATTAACATTGAGAGATCATAATCAGCTGGAGCATTTTGTCAAATTTGGCACAAACATCCACTTGTTGGATGAACTGATTAGATTTTGGTGGTAACCAGTCAAAGGCCAAAGTTGCTATATCCTCATGTCTGTCCCTTTCTAGTGAATTTGCCTGCTTGACGGAAGTATACAACAATGAACTAGTAATTCTAATTTACCAATTTGTTTCATTTGTTTCTTCAACAGATAATTCCACCAGGAGGGAACACATCATTTGATGTTGTGTTTCTCGCTCGAGTAGTTGGGAATGTAGAAAACACTTTATTTATTAACACATCAGATCATGGAGTGTTTACATACCAGGTATAGAAAAATATTTCTTTCTTAAAGTTTAATGTTTAGCGGTAGGAGAAATGTGACTGACATTGCTTTTCTTCTTCTGTCCTGGAGGTTTTTGGGGTCGGTATCCCAAACCCCTATAGACTGCGACCCTTCATAGGGGCTCGAGTCCCAGTAAACAGCAGCTTCTCACCTCTAATAAACATCCACAACCCCTACAGTGAACCGCTGCAGGTAATGTAGAGAAATTAGGCTCTCTGATGGTCACATTTGCATGTTTGATTCGTTTTTGTGAAGCGGTGGTCCGATGTGATGTATATGGGCTCTGTCTTGTTCAAGGTTGTTGAGATGTACTCCAGTGGTGGAGATCTACATCTAGAGCTTCCCACAGGTCAACAAGGAGGCACTGGAAAATTATGGGTTAGTTTCATGTGTCAGCAAATATGCACCACTGATTTGACCCAAACTTGTTTTGATGTATAGATGAGTGATAATTGTAGTCACCCATGCTCACCTTCTCTCTCCAGGAGATTCCTCCATTTGAGACAAAGGGGGTGATGAGAGCCAGCTTCTCGTCCAGGGATGCCGACAACCACACGGCCTTCATCAGAATCAAAACCAATGCCCCTGATGAGGACCAGTTCATCATCCTGCCTGTAGAGGTGGAAGTCACATCAGGTATGTGTTACAAATATTAGGGAGGTCATTACCTGCACAACATTTTCTCTAACTCCCACACACCGTTTTTTATCTGTAGAAATGTGTTTTAATCTTGTATGTTTTCTGTTGTTCTTCTTTTCCTGCAGCCCCTGGTATATATTCCTCAACAGAGATGCTTGACTTTGGTACACTGCGATCACAAGGTACAGAGTTCTACACAAGAAGCTGCATCTTGGAAATGTTCTTAAGTAATCATTTTCTGGCCTTTTGTGTTCACTCTCCTTCCATCCTGTTTCCCAACTGTTTTGTAACACAGATCGTCCAAAAATGCTGAATCTCCACCTTTTAAATTCAGGAACAAAAGATGTTCCAATTACAGTAGGTATCTTTAAGTAGACTTTTGAAATCCGTAAATGGTTATCTTACCCCCTCTGTAACCCTATCCTTTATTTGTGATTCACAGAGTGTTCGTACAACACCATCAAACGAAGCCGTCACAATAGATTTCAAAGCAGTTACACTGAAAGCTGGAGAGAGCAGATATACCAAAGTAGCAAGTATTAGTTTTGATGGTGAGTTTTGCATGTTCTTTTGAAGTGCACATTTCATGTAAGTTCTTACTAAACCATACATACTGTGTACATGTCCTGTGTTTTATTGAGCCAGTTTAATTTGCAAAGAGCTAAGCTTGTCACTCAAATCAGGGCAAAAACTAAATAGTATAATAAAAAGGAAATAAAATGTATGTTATTGGGTGTAATAATCAAGAGTTCAAGATAGAAACATATCCATCATCTGCATAGGCCATCACACACTCCAACTATGGAAGACGATTGTAGGCATGTACAAAGTAAATGTGTCTGAAGTCCAAGTACATACACAGTTTCCCCATGAACACAGGCTCTTAACAAGGACCCTCTGAACTCGATGTCATTTTCCTCCTTTAAGTCTTCACTGGTGGACTAACAGAAAATTCTACTTGAGTAAACATGCAGCTGTGTGTATTTGTAAAATTCTTCAATTAAAATAATTTTTAGGTTTCTTTATATACTCTAGTGAAAATAATACAAAAGGAGATTCAGTAACATCGTCTATTCCCCAGTTGTATGTTTAATAATGTATATTGACTGATTGGTAATGGTCTGCACAGTCTTAAATTTTGCATCGTGTCTTGAATTTCTTATACATTTTTTTAGTATTGCACAACTTCCTCTTACAGGGCCTTGCATCTCTTTGCAGCTTATCTGCTATCTCAATCTTGTTTTTTTCTTTTTTTTATTGCAGCCTCAAAAGCGAGAAGACCATATCAGTTCTCTGGTAAAATAACAGTTAAAGCGAAAGAAAAGAGCTATTCCAAGCTTGAAATCCCATACCAGGCAGAGGTTTTAGAAGGGTGAGTTATTTGTGGCGCCACAGTACATGGAGAGTGGGGTGGATTTATGTGTTATATAGGAGGAATATGTTCTTACAGGAGTTTCACTGGTCTTCTTGCAGATACCTAGGCTTTGACCACACAGCTACGTTGTTCCACATCAGGGACAGCCCTGTGGACCCGGTGGACAGGCCCATCTTCCTCACAAATGCTTTCAGCTTTGCAATCTGCATACACAATGTGTCCCTGCCCGAAGAGGCCAAAACTATGTTTAATGTGAGTGTCCCCAGAGTGTGTTTAAACAGGCCTTTCTGATTGTAAAGAGTTGTATGTGTATGCATGCAGAGGGCAAAATGAAATCACTTTTTCACCTTCTATTTCAGGTGCAGAACTTCAGTGCACCCATCATCATCCCCCCACACGAGTCACGCTACATCTTCTCTCTGCTCTTCCGCCCAGTCCGACCATCAATTCACATAGACAGCAACATCCTGCTTATCACAAATGCATCAAAGTTTCACCTGCCTGTCCGGGCTTACACAGGCTTCTTGGAGGTGCATACATTTTACTTAGAAGAAAAATACCTAGGTCATTTATTAATTGTTACACTTCACTAGTGTGTAGTTCACACTGTTGGTGATTTAATAAAACCCAGCAAGTTCAAATTTTTTCCTTATTTACTTGCTTTTGCTGTAGCTGTTGAGCTAGTTTTCAGTTTAATGTCACCTTGGCTTAGAGAGGCCACAGTTTATCAAGTCAGTACAGTTCCTATAGCCACAATGCTGTAACACAACTAGAGTGCCTTCGCTGTGGTTTGACTCAGTTTTTAACTCTATTTTGCAGTTTCTACAAAGTGAAATATTGGTTTTTACAGATATTACACATTTTTTCAGTGTAGTAATTTTCTAGAAGTCAGATTCAGGTCTTAATTCAATTCTAACCCAATATGCAGTTTGTATTTTTTGCCTTTTTGTGGGTTGAGCTATGTAGCTTTGATGGTTCTTTGTGAGTGCATGTCTGTGTAATTCAGTGTTTGTTCTTTGTCACCTGGCAGCCACTGGTTCTGTCCCCGAGTCTGAAGGAGAACATCCTGGACTTTGGTGTCCGCAGTGCAACAGACACCAGCAGCATCACGTTTGTGGTGGTCAACAGCAATCCCATAGAGGTGAGGTCACACAGTATACTATATGTATGCTAAATCAGTAGCTGATAGTATGAAATGTTGTGTTTCTTCCTGTTCAGTCACACAATAAATCAGTGGCTAATGTATGTAACAGTTGTCAGGTTTTCTACATATTTTTTCCTGGTAAGAAATTAGGGCTGCAACTATTTTAATAATCGATTTAATATGTTAATTATTTCTACGATTAATCGGATGTATAAAAAACATGCAGAAATCTTTTTTCCACATTATAAAAGCAAATTCATTTATTTAAACAGTGCTTTTGCAGTGTTTCTGTGCAGTGCATTATTAAACAAAAATAAATTATTTGTTCAAGAACAGAACTTTTATAAAGTGCACAGTAGGCCCTTAACAAAAATACTAAAATGTGTGATTTAGTCATTTATACTTTCATAAAAACATACACACTGTGATGTTCCTAGATATATAATTAGCATCATAATATATGTAACAACATAGCCACATTTCTTAAAATCAGGTACATGATAAATTTTGTTTCATAGTTTAACTAAAATGAATAACTTACTTAGCTTCAGGCTCCCTTTCTCCTGTAACTCAGTGTCTTTTCTTTAGGTGCTAATGCATTAACATTATGCTCCCCTGCCATGACAGATACTTTTTGCATAGTTGGCACTGAACAGTCTTCTTTCTGGTTGTAAAATAATGTGCCCTTAATGTTTAATCGACTTGATCGTTCACTTTTCTCTGCTGTAACCGTGCTCAGTACTATCCACTGCTTTCGCTGTTTTTCAAATGTTTTGATATGCTTCTGATTCAGCAGTCTCACACAGCTGCATGCCTAGACTCAAGCAATCAACAATTAGTTGGTGCCAACTATTTCTATTAGCAATTTTTATTGATTAGTTGTTGCAGTCCTATAAGAAATAATGTGAAACTATGCTGTAGGCCAAAATGATGATGTCTTTCTAGTTCAGTGGCTTGTGTAAGGTTGTTTACTTGAACTTTTGATCCTGATTTATGTACATGGTTCAGCAAAAGTAAATATTCTGAGTGCAAACTTTTGTCATTTCCATCATCCAGTTGGAGATCAAGTACTGGTTGGTCACAGGAGACAGTCTTTCCATGGAGCTGCTGAAGACAGAGAAAGGAAACACAACAGTGGCTCTGAGTCACCTGCAAGAGCTGCACAACACTTCAGTCTCCCATCACAAAACAGTAAGCCCCCACATTGTCACTCCAAGGCTGCTTTTGGCTGTTATGACCATTATGACACTATTTTTAATATACAGAGTAGAGCAGTAGGTGGGCTGTAGTGTCGCCAAACAAATGCAATCCAGTACAAAGGCTCTGTGTTAAACCCTGCCTGTATTTATGAAACAGCTCATATTCAGGTTTTGGTTAAGAATCTCCATACATAGACTGAAACTGACAATAGGTTGCCTCTACTCATGGTTAATGTCTGTCAGCTGTCACTCCTGGATCAGCTTGTTCATCTGTGTGATAGACCTCCATTGTTGTTGTTGTTCAAGAACAATTAAAAACACATCAGGGAACTACACAGCTGCACTGCGTGATACGCTTTTTCATTATAAAACCCCACACCCAGCAATATTGCCCCAAAGTCTTTGAGCAGCTACAATTTCCTGGAGCCAAGAACAAAGTCGGCATCAACTGCGAATGCGTGAGATCTTGCATGAGCTCTCAGATTTGTTTACATTCCATTAGCTACTCACACTCAGGTCTGGGGTTTGCTAATGAATGGTCAACCAGTGCAGTGGGGTGTTTCACTGATGTTTTTGATCGTTTTTGAACAACAGAGGCGCAATCTGTGGCGCAGATGAACAAGCTAATCCAGGACTGACAGACATTAACTATGAGTAGCAGCAAATCATTGTTGGTTTTAGTCTCTGTATGGGGATTGCTGAAAATACTGTTAATATAGAAAATATCTGGCTTCATCCTTTTAAGGTCAACCTTGATGGTTTTAACTTGTAATGTCTTTGTATTGGATTACATTACCCAGCAAACATACATAAATTTGCATGAAATACAGCACACTGTGATGATAGAATTAAAAGGTCAAACTAACCTTTTCACTTAGCATGGCATTATTCTTTGACATGTTATAAAGATTTTGTCTAGTTTTATATTTACTTGCCTTGCTTTATTATGACCATTTTAATAATGGCCCTAAAAGAATAAACAGGTCTACCTCCAAAGTTCACTAATTCAGTTCTGTATTGAATTCTTTGATCTGGATGTCTGTCTTTGAGATGCTTAGTAAAGTTTGAGGTGTTTCCTCCTTTTGTGGCAAAAGCTCTGAGACCGTTTGCATACTGAGTTTATACCTTGTCCCTGATCATCAGACTCAAATGTAAATTATCTCCATATGCAACTGTTAGAGTCCTAGTCCTTCTCTGTCATAACTTAATCAGGGCCCCTGCTCTCTTCCCTTGCCAGTGTTTTCTACAAGTCCCATAGAGGGCTGCTGTCCCTCTGACCTGAATGTCCACACTTTTGTTACTCCTTATCATATAGAAGCTTAATATTCCAACTGGAATGTGACTTCTGAGTATTAGTTTATATCTGCAAAACACGTGATTTTGATATTATACATTTAGAGTAAGTTGTTATTTTGACCTACAAAAGAGAGCTTTACTGGTCAACAAAAACCACAGTGTCTCAACTACTAGAGAACAAGGTACTTTATGGTACTTTACAGTTAACAGCTTCCTCATATTGAGAATCTGCAGCCTGAATACAATGAGGTACTTGACATGCAGGAAACTAGTGTTAACATGTGTTTCTACAGGTGATATTAGCATCTGGCTATTATGCAGCATTCAGAGTGACATTGGTGGCCAAGGCTCTGGAGGGCATGTATGATGGAGCCGTACACATAACTACAGATTATGAGGTATAAAACTGTCGTATGTAGTTTTAAATCGTTCTTTTAAAATAATAAAGAGAATTCAGTGCAGCGCTGACACAACCTATTCTTTTCTCTCAGATATTAACCATCCCAGTGAAGGCTCTCATTGCAGTGGGCACATTAAACAGCTCTCCTAAACACATCGTTTTACCACCTTCGTTTCCAGTAAGTAACTTTAACTTGTATTCATGGGTAAGATTTCACAGCTCTCCTGTACTGGAACAAGGAAATGATGAAATCAAGTGTGAAAGTCCCTTTCTGATTAATGCCTGAGGTGTTATGGCTCTTGATGTGTGTTTGTTTTTGTTCTTTTGTTTTTTCCTCTGTAGGGGAAAATTGTTCACCAAAGCTTCAGCATACAGAGCTCTTTCACACAGAAAGTGAGACTGCAGCAGATCCGCTCCCTGACAGAAGATATACGTTTTTATTACAAACGGCTTCGCAACAACAAAGATGAGCTGGAGCCAAGGCGTAAATCTAAGGTAGACGGTCATCTCATGCAGCTAAATCAGCGAGTCACATTTGTCCTAGACATAAACCTATTTTCTTTTCTCCATCTTTTTTCAGGTGGCAAATATTTATTTTGATGCCAGCTTGCAGTGTGGTGATCACTGTTATGCGGGGCTGCCATTTGTGCTTAAATGTAAGTTTTTTGTTTGTTTGTTTTGTTTTGTTTTGTTTTTAGTGTGTGACATTCAAATCTCACACAACTAAAGCAATTAAAGACTGGATCCACTTCTCTAAGGAAGGTGGGGGATTTTAACAGTGGGCTGGTCAGTGATTTTTAATCCCTTCCAGAATGCATACATGGGTACATTTTCACCCCAAATCCAGAAATAACTACAGCTGTACTACTTTTGGTCAAACTCATCTTTCTGTCATTTAAATCCTGTCCCTGGAAACTGGACAGATGGAAACATGCTAACAACAACCCCATAAAAGCTCATTAAATGGGCCGTTGTTATGTTAGCTACAGGGGGCTGGTATTTTTGTAGCCAATAGTTGTTTACATTTGTTGCGTTTTAGCAAATTGGCACCATTAAAAGTATGCCTAATTTGCTATGAGCATTTCCTGTGTGCTGTTGTACCCATGGGTGTACAGACAAACCCCATCCAGTCACTGGATTACTTTGACACTGGAGAAAACTTAAAAAAGTGAAGTTTCCTGGGCAAGGACTGTACTCCAACTGAGAGGGAGTACGATTTTACTTTGATTCACTTTGCGCCGTAATGCCTTACGTGTCACCCTGCACACCTACCCTTGGCTTTCTTTTTGACTTTGTCTTGTGGACAGTCCATGCTTGTTTTGCAGTGGTTGAAATCCCATCTGGAATGATGAGTTCTGTTACCGATCAACACAGTGAATATGCCATTCACCTCTTTTTGTAATGTTAACTCTTGTGTTTAAGAATCTAAATTAAATGGGTAATATGTTGTTTTTTTCCTTCCACAGCTGAGTCCAAGCCTCATGGTCTAGCATTACAGGAAGATATCTGGGATGCTGATGTGGACCTTCATGAAAAACTTCTCAGACGATGGAAGGAGCTTAATGAACACTCTGGCCACAAGTAAGCACACCAGGTGTTAGGATTCACTAATCTTTGGTGGTTCGGTTATCAAACTTTAAAGCTAAATGAATGATTCCAACTGTTTGCAAATGCCACATGATGTTTTTTCCCTTGTCGAAGGATTGAAGCTGTCTTTGAAGTCAGCACAGACCTTCAGAAAAATGTTCAAGCTAAAATAACAGCACATTTGACCTGGCCCTCACTGGTCAACTCTTCACAGCGAATTACATTCCCTCTGACCAACACAAACAGCTCCTCTGTGAGTAGATACAATCAGTCGCTTGTTAGTACATGTGCACAGCCACACACACGAATGTTTTAAGATGTTGTCTGACTTGAGGATAACATCCTTTTGTTTCTCTGTAGGATGAGGAGGTGATTCTGCAGAATCCTGCCGACGTCCCCGTCTATGTCCAGGTTCTCCCCTTGGCACTGTTACCCAATCCCTCAGTGTTTACTGGAAAGCTGGCTGACAAGTGAGAAATCTCATCAGTCTTTGCATTTATCTTTTTCTTTATCCCCTTCATCTTACTCTTTCAGTAACCAACTAAAACTTCTTTATCCAGGTTACCATTAGGAAATTTGTCCAACATCAACATTGACACAAACACCTTAGAGTTCCAGGTTCACAGAAATCAAGTGAGTGCTACAGCACTGTTCAGGAATTCAGAGAATCAGTTGGTTGGCATAATCACAGTTCTATTGTCATTGCTCGAAGCAGTTTGTCTCTAACAGACTCTCTGTTTTGTTTTGCAGACGCCCCTAATGAAGAGTAGTACAGGGTTCATAGAGGGATCAGCCAGGCCCTTTGTGTACAACCTTCTGCTGCTGCCCGGAGAAGTCAAGTCGTTCAACGTGAGGTTCACTCCCATTAGAAACCACAGTGTCTCTTCCCTCCTCATAGTCAGGTAATATCAGTTTTTTTATGCAATTAAATATTTAGTAGATACTGTATCTGTTCCTCTTCTGACTGTGTGTGCTAAATTGGGAATCTGTTTAGGAATAATCTAACTGTGATTGACACAATCATACTCCATGGGCGAGGCACAACAGAGAGTCTGAAAGTTGCAGGGAAGCCTCCAGGACAAGGCAGCTCGCTGAGGTTTAAGATGACTGAGTCCCTGCTGAAAGACTGCACAGAGAGTGAGTTTGTTTGGCTGAGGCCTGGATCAGTGTGAATGAGGGCCCTCCTGACACTTTACATCACTTCAGTTGTCTTATATTCGGATATAACCTGAATGAGATTTAAGACATTTTTATGTCATTACGTACTTTATTTTACACTAAGCTAATTTTAATTCACCTGGCTTTTCCTTGACTATAGTTAAAAGCAAGTTGGCCCCACTCCAAAGGAAGAATAACTTGTGCACTTAAGCAGATTCAGTTACTACACTTTACAGTTAGCAATAACATCTAGCAAGCCAACCATTGTCCATAAACAAATGCAAACACACAGATTACACACACTTACCCTGCTTGTTCGCACAAATCTTTCTGTAGTTGGACTGAACCAGGATTGTTTAAGGCTGGCACACACTACAGGATAATTAAGCCCATTTCATGACTGATTTCCCTCTGTAGGGTATACAGTCCTCAATGTTCACACTTCTCCATCCACAATCTCACCCAAACACTACATCTTCATCCTTTTTTTTTTGGCCTTTTTTGCGCAAATTGCACTGCATATAAACAGTGCCGGATGCCGGCTGTTGTCTGTTTTGGTACAAGTATATACGAGACCTCACAGGATTTATTGGCTATCTACTGCCAGAACTTCCTGTCTTTACTGATAATTATGTGTGTTCTCAGTCGTTAGTAGGGGTGTGGTGAGATCTCATGCAATGAGATCCTGCAATATTAAAATGTGACAGTATATCTAGTTGAGGCGAAAGCCTTGTGATATCAGTACATAACAGAACCAGGCCAGTATGATGGAGTGTGACCATACGTTCACATTAGTCTGGCAAAAATGCAACTCACAAAGACTAATGGCACAACATTGAAAATCCTGCAGTAAAATACTTAAAACTTTAACTCTGGTACAAACCCATCTACTGTGGACAATGAATCAGTGCAGACTGTTGATTTATTAATGTGATTTCATTCACAATCTCTTTACATTTTCCATCAGTTCAGTGTGTCCAAGTCCATTAATTATCACTGTTTATTTCAGAGACAAAAGTCAAAGAGCCAAACTTCACCCTCAGAAGAACCTTCAGAGTGGAGAACACAGGCTTGCTCCCAATCACCATCAGATCAGCAGAAATCAATGGACAAGCTTGTGAAGGATATGGATTCAAAGTTCTCAACTGTCAAGAATTTGCACTTAATCCAAATGCTTCAAAAGACCTCATCATACTGTAAGTGAACAAAATGAGACATACAGTATGTTGGTGCTCCTTGTTCATGAGTATTTGCTCTGTGTGTGTGTGTGTATGTGTGTGTGTGTGTGTGTGTGTTTGTGCTTTCCCCATCGCCCACCAGTTCCGTTGATACTTGTCCTCCATCTTCAGCAGTATGAATTGGCTCTCTGTGTCTCTGCTGCTCCCCATGGCTCTTTTTTTTTTCATCATCACTGAAGGTCCCCCCCAGGTTCCCTTTGACATAGATGGAGACATGTACTTGTTATCCCTTTACAAGTTCAACAAAACTGCTTGTACATTTGCCAAATATTCAAGTCGGGGCATTTTTCTTGAATCACGTTTTTGTCAAAATAGGGACAGCAGCTCTGGAGAAAAATGTTTTTAGATATAAATCCAGATGTAACAAACAGTCAGTTCATCCTGGCTCCTCTTTTTAACAGAAATATTCAGATGCATCACTGTTTAAACTGTTGTCTGCTGGCTTCCTCTCCGGTATTTCATCATTCTAACAGCACAAAATGAGTCAGAAAAGAGCACAGCCACTGTGCTGATATATGGTTGGTGCTTTACAAATGCAGCTAGATAAAAAGGCCAGTCTTGATTTGGTGGGATACTAGTTTTAAGCTATTAAAACTTTGGAAACTCTCAGTACTTAAGTTACTTTGTATAAAGTTGCTTTCATTTGAATCAGACTGTTATATTTGCTTTTAAATTGTAACATGATCGCTGGCTCATTGGAGCTCTTCTCAGAACTGTTGGTGTGAACAGGCTGTTTATTTGCTCTTATTATGGCAGGACACTTTACAGTCATCATTCTTAAGGGCAGGACACGCTGGCAATGTGTGTCAAAATACCTGCACCCATTGTTTTCTATGTAAACACACATATTGGCAGAGAACTCACATCAGGAGAGGCTGCTGACCTATTTTCCCAGCATCAGCGCACATCAGAACAACTTCTGCTCTCTTGATTGAAGCATCCTAGCCACTGTACCACCGTCTTCTATCTGTCCTGTCAGTTAGGACTGGTCACACTGTCAAAAATCAGCAAGGCTGAAATATCCACCCATTCTGGTAATCTCACACCAGTGGGTATGCGATGCAACGCCACAAGGGTGTGTTGCTCTTTACCTGTACATAAAGTTTGAAGGCACTGTGACATGTTACAGTAGGAAAAGCACAGGTGTTAATAATAGATAATAAATTAATTGCAGCTGTCATGCACGCTGACTCACTGTCATGCTGCTTTTCCTGCTATGACAAATCAAAATACCTCTGTCCATTTTCAGCCTGTGGCCTAATATCAATGAGATATACAGTAAGTGAAATCAGTGAATATAAATGAAAACTGATGTGTCAAATATGAAGTCATGCCCAGCTCCTCTGATTGCTTGTCTGATTTGAATTAGGTTACCAGTAAAATGAACGTTTGGAGTATGTTCATTCATTTTCTAGTCCTTCAGTCTCAAAGGTCATATGGCAACAACAAGTAATGAGAAATAAGCATTTATCATACTTTTAATATACGCACTCTTTTCCAGAGCTCTTTTTGCTTCAGTTCATGGCCTAACTAGTTCTATTGAGCTTTACTACTACATAACATAGCTTTATGCATATTGAAATGAGGAGTATTTGGATACACACAGGAGGGGTCCAGTTGTTTGGGAGGTGTCCTCTTATTCAGCGCTCAGAGGAGCTGTAGGTGTGTCTTATGAGTAATACACTGGACGGTGCACAACAAATAAGTGCTCAGACCGGTACAAATGTTGAATGACAATGAGCATACAAGGTGTGGTCAATGATAACATCAGTTCAAGCTTGATCAGATCCAACTTTTCATGGATCACAGCCACTACTTGTTTATGTCTATGCAAAACAACTCTCAGCTTTGCTATTTTATTCACTGGGCTATAGACTCTTTTGACATTTTGTCAGAGTAGGAAAAGTATAGGCAGGTGGAGCTAATAACAACAGCAGATTTTTGATAGCTTTGTTCTGTTCTGTTTAAGTGTCCAATTCAGTAAACTCCCATTCACTGAACTATGCTAATAAGTATGACAACAGCAACGCCCTGATGCTGACACCACTATGGCATGTAGCCATTATTAATCTTATTATGTGGTTTTCTGATCTCTTCCCAATTCTGCTTTGAGAACAGCCTATTAATAAGTACATTTGTGTATTCTAGCTGATAGCTAATTATAAACAGTAGGCACCGGTGTGAACTGTCTAATCTACACTACCTACAGTAGCACAGCCACTTGACTGCTTAGAAAGTTTTACCACTGGGCACATACAGTACTGTGTATTTTATTAGACTGAAGAAATACATTGAAATACATGAACTCTTATTGAAATACATTAACTCTGCCTGTTTTGATAGAACTACGATGTAGGCTGAACACAATGCATGTTTTGAAAATAACCACATTAACGAAGTTGAGGTGTGCCTTTCTGCTTTACTGCATACCTCCCCTCAGGCAGTTTCATTTACCAACCCAGAAAAAGACACTGTTTTTGTTAGACAAACAAAGGTCATGTGAAACTGACATTCAACATTGTTACTCATCAGGTCACACAACCTGTCCAATTAGCTCATGGATTCCTTTGTCTTCTAATCCATTAGAAGACCACTTCCTTCCTGTCTTGTGGTCACATTAATTGATGAATTATTTAATTAAGACAGGTTGATATCAGGTCATTTTACTAAGGTTCTTGTATGGTAGAGAATACACTTCTCCTCCTTTCCTTACAGGTTTACACCCGACTTCACTTCATCTCGAGTGATCCGGGAGCTGAAATTGGTGACGTGTGGGGGCTCCGAGTTTGTGTTTGTCCTGAATGCCTCCTTGCCCTACCACATGTTAGCTGCATGTACAGAGACCCTGCCCAGACCGAGCTGGGAGCTGAAGCTCTACATCATTGTCTCTCTCATAATGAGGCAAGTTTTTCTCTGGCTTGCAGCGTAGCATTACGACAACGTCAAAAACACCAGAACAAGAACACATTTCTGTTGTGTTTTGTCAGACGTACTTCATCCCAGCTCACAGTTTATCATTGTTTGTTTTGCCTCTTCAGTTCCATGTTTCTGTTGGTGATTGCCACAGCCTACCTGGAGGCTCAGAGCATCTGGGAGCCTTTTAAGAGACGTGTGTCTGTGGAGTCCAACTCTTCCTTGGAGACTGGGAGACCATTTAATCTCAGGGAAATGGTGCAAATTCACAGTGATTCAAAGTAAGTGTAGCATAATAGTGACTGAGTAACATCCTGATCAAGCGATACAGGGAGAACAGGAATTACACGAAGCTGGTCGTAAAATGTGGTCAGAGTTTCATCTGTGTTACAATTATTAACAGACACAATCAGGTAACCAATAGCACACAAAATATTGTGGTGTTCTGGTTGAATTTATCATTAAAACTTTGACTGTGTAAGTTGGAAAAAGTATGTGAACCCCTGGTTAATGACATTAACAAAAGGTAAGTGGAGTCGGGGGTCAGCAAACCTTGAATCCAGATTGGAAGTGTGGGTTAGAGCTACTTTAACTTGAAACGTTTTGACAGAAGATTTAGGACAAATATTTGTTGTTTTGCATAAAACTGGAAAGGGTTGCAGAGTAATTTCAGAGGTTTATTCAGTCCATAGTTTAAAAAACAGTTTTTCAATAGAGACGATTTAGTACTGTGACTGTTCTCCCTTGCAGTGGGCACCCAGCTAAGATGATTCTCAGAGCAAGGCACAATGCAGAATGCTCAGTGAGGTATGAAAAAGCTGTGTGAGAAAAACAGGCAGCACTATGTGTCCTGTTAAAAGGGAACTGCATACCAATACGATAACATCATCCCAAAGACCAATTACAGAGGACAGTGTTGTGATTTGGTGCTCCTTTGCTGCCTTTGGGCCTTCAGAACTGCTGCCATCATGGAAGAAAAAATTAATTCCTAAGGTTCTGCCCTGTGCAAGAGTAAGCTCTTGCTTAATGTCAGGGTGGCTGTGCACCAGCTGAAGCTCTGTAGGACCCCCCCCTAAACACTGAAGTAAATCTATTACAGAACAAGTTCAAACAAAGTATATCCACCTTCTGGAGTGACCCAGTCAGAGCCCAGACTTCGACCAGACAGAGATGCTGTGGAATGAGCTCAAAGAGCCATTCACACCAGACATCCTGGGAATGTGGCTGAGCTAGAGCAGCTCTGTGAGGAAGAATGGTCCAAAATTCCTCCTGAACATTGTGCAACTCTGATCTACACAAAAAACAATTATAATTAATTAGTTTGTATGGTTTTGGCCTAAGTGGGTTGTCTTTGCCGGTACTTGTGACTTGGATGAAGATCAGATCACATTTTATGACCATGAAATGCAGAAAGCCAGGTCAAAAACTTGTTCTTGCCACTATATGATCGTTGAAATATAGAAAGATACAACATTAATTTTGTAACGAGAGAGATCAGTTTGCACTAAAAACAAACTAGTCAGGATTTTGTTGTACATGATTATTTGCCAATTAGAATTTCCTCTGAATCAGTCTATGTTCTGTTGTTGTCATTTTAGACTTTTAGTTAATGTTCCATCTTTCTAATTGATGGATTAGGTTATGAAGGAATCTGACAGTCGGCTGCTATTGTCTGTGGCTAACCACTGCCCACAGTTTGGGCCATGGCTGGCACCACAACCACTAGTTGGCCTTTATCACTGGCTATTCAGACAACTTTGCATGTGCAGTCTAAGAGTTGTCCGACAGGCAAATTACTTTAGAATATCATTTAAAACATCTTATCAGACATATTCTTAATTCCTGTTCTGGTTTACACCGAGACAATTCTAATAGCAGTAATAGCAGTTTAGTAGTATGAAAAGATTTGTTTTGTTTTTGTTGGCTACAGGGCCGTAACTAATGATTTTCTAGATGACGTGCTGTAGACTAGTCAGAAGCTCCAAGCCTCATTTGTGTTATGTTTAATGTCCTCTAAAGTGCTAAACTGTCTTGTGCTAACTTTGTGGTCACACCGAATCAGTTGCCTTTTTTTGTTTTGTTTTGTTATTTGCAGCAGTTCATTACCAAATGAAACCAGATACAAACAGCCCCTACAAATGATTTATCTACCAGTGGTCCTGCATTTGCAGGTATTCTGCCAACGGTTTGTTGACATTTCTGTAGTTATTTTCACGAAGAGATGTCACTGATATCTCTAGTTCTGAATTGCATGTCACAATAGACTTAGACTTAGATTTGGGTAAAAAATTTAACAGATGGTCACTTCCACGAACTTCATGGCTTTGTGAAACACACAAAAAAGAAGTAAACCGTTTTCTTTACAGCAATACCACATGTTGTAGTAGTGAAGTAGGGTTGCAACAGTATGAGATTTTCACGGTGTGATAACGTCTCAGAAAATATCAGTTTCATGGTATTGCAGTTACTACAGTGACCCTCAGAAGAATGAGAAAGGGTCCTTTTTAATACAAGTGACTGTACCAGTTGATTGAGCTGGATTGCGGAGCTATATTGACCCTGAAATATAAACACAATTATAAGAATGATTTTTTTAAAAAGCATACAACTATAGCACTATATAATTAAAGCATGTTAGTCTGCATTTTAGCACCAGTAGTAAAGCAAGTATTCACATCCTTAAGTAAAAATACTGCTATCACACTGTAAATGTAGCCAACTATGACAAAAAAATGTGTTACAAATGCTAAGTAAAAGTAAGTATTGACACAAAAATGTACTTGATGTATTAAAAGTATTAGTAGGCTAATCCATGCAGAAAAATGTTATGCTATACAGTATATTATATTATTACATTAACAGCCCATCACTCATGCACTGATGTAAAAGCAGGATTTGACATCTTTTTTATTATTTTCATTAGGGATTAACCTGCTGATTATTTTCTTAATCGACTGACTGGTTTGTAAAACTTCTGACAGCAGTGAGACATTCCATCACAATGCTCTAAATGATTATCAGAATGGCTATTCATATATTGTAGGTGCACTCACTCACACACATACCCAGAGTTATGTGAGCCGGAAATGTTTGTGTGCATTTCTGGGGTCAGATTAGGATCAGTGTGAGTATTTTTGTACTGTAAATCAGAGATCGGTGAACAGACAGTGTGGAAAATTATTTCAATAGCACATTTATTGTTTGGGATTAAAGTCATAAACGGGACACATACTTTCACCTGTACAGCTGTGTGTGTGTGGCACCCGTGGTGGTGTCTGACAGGCAGTCGGGGAAGAAAGGTGCACGCATTGCGTTTTTTTTCTTCAATACCAGTAATAAGCAAATGTGCATGGTATAATAACCCTCAATTTTCATACTATGGTATGCTGTAAAACTGGTATATTGCTGCAACCCTACAATGAAGGGATCCAAAGAATGTTGGCTAGAGTGGCAGAAAATGGAAGTGCAGAGGGCAGATGCAGCATAATTTAGTGGATTCCTCTGTTAATATTCAGGTTGAGCGATTACAGTGACCCATCCCAGAACTCCAGAGGATTGTATGCATCCAGCAATGGAGCAGCTCGGGTCGGAGGTCGACAGAGCAGCAGTCGCACCTTATCTGACGCAGACTGCCAAGATAAGAGATCCAGGATCAGCTTCAGCCGCCCATCTATGCAAGCTAATTCCACTCAGTTGACCAAAGGAAGTACAACCTCAGGCCAAGAGGGCCCGCCACCTGCCTGTCAGCTAAATAGCCGGAAGGTTCGGAGTCCCAAACAGCTGGACCTCCAGAGTCAAGGTTTAGCTGCGTCATTGCCTCACAGAGGCCTCTGCCCTGAGGATGCAGAATATGCCAACCTACTAGGAGCCATGGACAATGATCTGGACCGTCCAGAGTTGCTCAGCACTGAGGCACTGCAGGAGCCGAGCTCTCAATCCATACAAAACAAAGGTACCCGCATTTGTTTTTACCAGAAGAGAGTAGAGGGTCTCTGTAATCGGTTAGAGGTTTTGAAAGTCCATAATATTGTTGATTGCTCTTTTGGAATCTAAAGGGAAGGCCCGAGGTAAAACAAAAGCCCAGAGGAAAAAGGAAGAGAAAGAGAAAAAGCCAACAGTAAAGACTCAGGGAGACGAACTTAAAGATAATTTGGCTGACAACGATGACAGCTCCTCCACTACTACAGAGACGTCCAATCCAGACTTGGAGACAAACATCAAAGAGGTACACAGAAATAATCCAGCTCACATCAACTCTCTTTCCATTGACACTAAAAAGAAATATGCATGTTAACATATATTTCCCATTATTTCTTCCAGGAACCAGTGAAAAAGAAGGGAAGGACAGTAACCACAGGGAAAATGACAGAGGAGACTTCCAATGTCTCGATGAAACCCAAAACCAAGAAACAAGAAGCCACAAAGAAAGAGACCCAGTCAGAAAATTCCAGGTTTGCTTTTTAAATTAACAAGCTTTTTTTTAAATGTAAATTATATTTTTTGACAAATCTTTATTGTTCTTAGTCTGCTGGAGCTGCCATATGTAACGCCGCTGGAAAACAAACGCAAGAGCTTCACATCCAAAGCTCTCCACCCTCTCAACAATACCCCAAAGACAAGGCCCCTGCAGAAGCAGAGACGTGAGTTTCTTCGCTTAAATGCTGTCATTGTTGTTTTAGCACCAGACATGTTTGTGACATGTTTGTTTTGGCAGTAAATGGGAAGCTGGAAGACAGACGCCCCTCTTTGTTTGCCAAACTGTTGTCCAGTGGTTCGGTGCCAGAGCTCGGCCATAGCAGCAGCTCTGAGGGTGAGAAGGAGTTTGCCTCTCCAGAGTGGGATGTTCCGCTCTCCAAAAACAGCATCCGTAAGTCGAGGCCTGAAACAGTCCTGTTATGTCCTGTGCCTGTCCTCCTCTTGACCTTATCAAATGCTAACCAATCACTGTTTTCCACATGCAGAAGCAGATAGTCTTCAGCAGATTTCCCTCCAGACAATGAACGCAGACCCTTTCCTGAAGAGGTCCGTCACAGCCGGGACCTGCTCCCCTCCACCCACCTCCCCAAGCTTACTGTCCCGAGGCACCTACAGCAGCGTGGTCAACAGTAACGGGTATCCACAACTTAACTTTAAATAAAGTTTTTTTTTTTTTAAACTGATGTCCACTTAGGAAAATACTGTCATTGATGCCAGATCCTCCTGTTTCTCCAGCATCATTGCCAGAAATAGCCGCAACTAGAGCTGTCCCAACCTGATAAAAAGCAAATCAGCAAATATGTGCTGATTTGGGCATATTTCACAGGATCAGTATTGTCCAGAATGAAGCCAATCAAATTCCGATCCTTATTTAGAACTACAGTGCTGTATTTGAGTGAACTCGGTCACATTTTTGAAACGAAATAAGCTGCTGTATTAATCAGTCCAGCTGTCTACACTGCCCACATGTCCACTGGCATATCACTAGCATTTTAAGCACATGGCCATGACCTGAAGCCTGTTTTTAGCTTCAAGTCTGTTTTTTCTCAGAGCTGTGTGCATAAAACCCTCCACAGAATCCACCAAAACAATGATGCAAAGTAGTAGTTGGTATCTGCCCTGTAGTTCTGAGTGTGTTGTCCAGCTCCCAGTTGTCTTTTATTTATATGAATAATTTAAGCTCATAAACTTAATATTTTGGAACCAGGACCTGATCCAGTATTTGGATCAAGAAGCTCCTGAAAAATACAGTGTGCCAGATTTATTTCAATTTCAGTATTTTAACTATTTAATGAACATCTACTGCGGGCAAATATAAGTATGAGCTCAGAATCGGTATTGGCACATACTTGATATGAAAAAAAATCAAATCAATATCAGGGCTGAAAAACTGAATCGTGACTTCCCTAGTCGCAACTCCAAAGTCCTTTTTAAATCTATCAGTATTCTTTCCACTGTCCTAGACCTAAACTACCCGTTTGATCAGAACTGTTTCCCAGAATTGTTCCAGCTAAATGAATAAGTCAGGTTTTCCCCCCAAGTGCTGATTTTGAGTTTTTATTATTTGTAGATTTAAGTCTTATTTAATTTATGATTTATATTGTATATCTGGATTTATCGGGATTTTCTTCCAGTTAGAGCACTTCTAAATGCACCCAACACTAATCCAGATGTTTTTCTGACATTTTTGCAGTGAAGGAAACCAGAAAAAAGCCCCAGGAAATAAATTACCTACAGCCAGTCCACTCCCAGGTAAAAACGGGAACCCTACCTTTGCTGCTGTAGCTGCCGGTTATGACAAAAGCCCAGGTAAATATCTAACATAAGACACTAGATCAAAGTGTATGTGTTGTTCTTGTTGTGATTTGTTTACATGTTTGATGTTCTTGTCAGGTGGCTCTGGCCCAGGTAAAACTGACAACCAGGGAAAAGGCCTGGCACACATGACATCAGTGGAAAGTGACAGCTCAGACAGGTAATGGAAGAATCCTGGCACAACATCAAGTTACAATCTCAGCTAAATATATACATATATGTATGTGTGTTTATATCTTTTTCTGTTATAGCTCTGGATTGTGGACTCCCATTGACACAGTTAGTAGTCCCAGCTATCATTCTGCCAACTCCTTCTCTGCTTTTGGACCCAACAACTCATTCAACCTAACAGGAGGTACGCTGTGTGGTTGACAGGCTGGCTAAGAACACACACAAGAAAGCTGAATAACTGATCTAACAGTGGTTGTTAGGTGGCTGCATTTAAACTGAAGCGTGTGTGGTGTTCTTAGTTTTCAGTGGCATGAACCTACCAAAGTCATCTGAGCCTCAGCAAAGCTGGCCTGAGTTCACCTCTGTACCTTCCTCCATCTGGGACATGCCAAGCAGCGACTCTCTGCACTCCTGGCCCAGCAGCTCCAGCTCATCCACCGCCCCGACAGCAGTAAGATCCGGCACTTTGTGTTAATGTTAGGGATGTTCCAATCCAGTTTTTTTGGCCCATATGAATAGCTGGGAGCTGGACAACACACTCTCAGAACTACAGATTCATTACAGGGCAGATACTAACTACTACGTTGTATCCGCATGCGAACACTCTGTTTCTGTAACAGGTCCAGTCTAGATAACCCTGTTTCAATATTTAATAACGCTGTATTAACAAAAGGTAGCACCACTGGACGAAAGCATAAAACCTACCGTGTCCACACCAAAAGCACATGAACATAGCGAGAGACTCACACCCGTCTCTATATCAGGTGTGTATTCACTCGCACATAGGAAGCAGCTGGTGAACAAAAACAAACGAACCTACAGACACACTTTGGAAAAAGGAAAACTACAGTCCAAATCTCTGACAAATAATAGACAGTGAGAAAATTACTGGCAACACTTGCATGTTTCAGTATATTCAACCTACAGTTTAAAAAGAACTGCCATGTTCAATAGGATTGATGTAACAGGTAATAGATCAGGTGTTTTAACTGTTTCTGCTTGGTGTATTTCTCTGTTTTGGAGGAGTTCTGGTTGGAATAAGTGAGCTTTCATTGTTTTGGTGGATTCTGTGGAGCGTTTTATGCATGCACTTCCAAAAAATAGGCTTCTGGTCACGGCTATATACGTTAATCGAGTAATATGCAAGCTGGCAGATGGGAAGTGTAGAGAGCAGGATTGATTAATATTGCAACTTATCAGTTGCATGATAGTTGCATCTCAAAAACACGAGTCTGCTCAAATACATGACTCTAGCTCTACATAAGGACCAGGATTGGATTGGATCTATTTTGATCTATTGGATCTAATACTGATCCTGTGAAATACACCCAGATTGACGCCAATACTGACACATAGTATCATAATGAGGAAGCTCTCTGATACTCATCCTGTTTGTGATACTATTGTGCTTCTCTTTTTTTCTTTTAGTCACTCCTGGGAAGCACCCACATCCCCTGGTCTACAACCACACCTTTCAGCAGCTCCATTTGGTCTACAAGTGCAGATTCTGCCTTACACCCTTTTGCTGCAACTACCAGCTCAACAACTCTGACTGATCTGGTTAACAGTCCCGCCCCGTCAGCGCCAGCTTCCACCGAGATGAGTCGGGCTTACAACCCATGGAACATGTGGCGCCCCACCCTGAGCAGACGGAGCTCTGAGCCATGGCCCAGCTCCTCTGACAACGGCAGTTAAACAACACGAGGGCACTTAATAGAAGCACATCATGGATTTGATGTACGCTAAATCAAATCGTTTTTTAATTAGAACATCCCAACAGAAAGCAATGTTACCTGAGGTGTTTGGTAGCCCCGCGCTATAGGCTACCAGCCTGCACTTTAGTTCTCTGCAGCTTTTTATTCACAGGGGAGGAAATGCTAACTTTTATTTGGATTTGTTTTAACAGGTGCCCCTAAATTAAAAATGTTGATAGCATGGTATGCCAGTACCAGAACTTTGAACATGGCACAGAGTCTCTGAAGTTTAATATTAATGTGGGAAGAGACATGTTTTTTTTTAAACCACGTGTCTTATTTTCACAATAATTTTGCTTCTAATTGGTTTCTTATAAAAGTTGGATTGAAAGGTTAGATTTGGATCTATTTGAATTCAAATCTTTGCACTAGGTTTTTAATTTGCAGCAGGCATCTTCCATAATTTGAAATGTGTTTCTTCAGAACAACAACAGCCTAAAAAGCTTCATGAATGTCCATGTTCTTCATTTTAAAGTAGGCTCTGCCCTAAAACTCTCAAAGCCCTGTGAGAATAAATTGGTCAGGCAATCAAAGGATACCCAGGATTGAGGTTTGTATTGTACATCACCTCTATTTGTCAGCAAATTTAAATAAAGGTTTTCAGCAGAACACAATGTGGAGTTTTTTTCTATCAATTAAACCTGCAGTAATATATATTTTTAGCCACCTGGAGTAGTGATGGGGATAGTGGCTCTGAACAGAGCTGGATCTTATGGCTCCTTTCCTTTCATGGAGCTGTTCAAAGAAAGGGCTCATTATTGATCCAATTATTTATTTTTAACATATTTGTGGTGTAATCTTAGCGCTGAAGTGCATCCAGTTTCATGTCTGTGTGTCCATTTGTTTGACCTAGGGCAGAGTTCAGCTGCACACACAAGGTGCAGGGCAAAGTGGCCACATAAAATCCTTCCTGCAGGGTTGTGCAGAGGTGTGGCCATGTTTGTTTGTGCTTTAGAACGTAACTCCCATGAAACAATCAGAAAATAACATTTCATTTCTATAATTCACTGCTTGGTTTTGCTAGCGCTGCTCCCTGTCTTCATTCACTCTTTCTCTCCCTCACTTTGTGAAGTAGATTTAAAACACAGGCAGTGGAATTTGGGCCCAAAGAGAAAAAGAACAGCTCTCTGATAAGAGTCGGATTCCTTAGTTGTTACCAACCAGCCACTGAATAGGACTGGATTGTTCATGAACGTAATGTCACAAACTTGGAGGCAGTGGAAACAAGTTTCTGGAGTTTTCCTCCCTCTGATTGTTCTGAAAAGTCCACATCATTCTGCCAGTCCTTTTCCTTGTTTACGGCTTCCTCCAACTTTCTAGCTTTGTGGAACAGCTCATTGTCAGTGCTCTCCATATCCATGAGCTCAACCTGAGGGATCGTTAACCTTGTGTTGTAACTTATATCAGCATCCAGAGCTTTGTTTTAGATGCTCCACCTCAGAGACCAATTAAGCCCACCCTCTCACAAGTCTGGTGGCCTGATTCCCCTTTTCGCCCTGTGTTCAGGGACCTTGGTCATTCTCAGCCCTGACAGAAACCCTCCAGTGCAACACTGGCCTTGACCTTTGGGACCTGCTGGGGTGTGTCAGGCTCTCTACCGGAGTTTATGGCAGGACGGCCTGCCCTCTCAGAGAAGCTTGTGACCAAGCTTTGTATTTGGTTTTAGCAAGTCTGTGCTGCCTTCTGTTGGACAACTGTGTAATACAACACCTTTTTCAGTGTTGATTTGATTTTAATGTGGCATGAAAATTCATGTCCCAAAAGAAAGCCATCCTTTTATTCATGACAAAAAGCTAAATAATTGTCCTGTTTAACAGATAATGACACTGGTCTTTAGCAACAATGCTACACAAAATCAAAATTTTTGTTACACCCCTAACATCTCTGCAGTGATTGAAACTGAAACAATATCCCAGGGAATGAACCGTCTGCACCCCCTTACTACTTTGCAATAATGGGAAGTCCCACATTTGCTGCTGTAGCTGCTGGTCATGACAAAGGTTTATGTAAAAATGTAACAATGAATTTAGATGATGGCAGCCTTATGATGATTTAAGATTAAATGGAGACCCAAGGCTAAATAAGACAAAACCTTGTGTGATGATAAACTAGTACAAGAGGTTTGTTGTAGCCTCTATTTGTCAGCAAGTTCAAATAGTGAATTTCAGCAAAACATCCCATTTTTCATTGCATTACATACTTAGTTTGATGACAAATTACAGATAGAAAAAATATTGGATTCACCTCAAATTTTCCTATAGGCGCTCATTCAGTGAGCCCTGTGTGGAAGCATTTCCTCTTGTTAATTCAGATCCATCCTACACATCTGTCACATCTGTATGAGCTATTTAGTATGTGTATTACTTATTACAAGGTTGTCTGAGGGACTCCAGTAGTAGCTGACCAAACTTGGCAACATCACATTTAGTCATAACAAACACACTGTGGCTCTTCTGCAGCGCATGTGTACGATCTAATGCCAACATGCCGCGAGAGATCGAACCCTGCAGCTCCACATGAACAGGACACTCAATGACCTCTGTCACCACGGTGCTGTCAATGCAGGCCGCCACTGCATAGGCATCATAAGAGACGAAGCAAGGTCCAAAGTACACGTCTCTCTTAGTTACCATAGCCTCTTTAGAGTAGGCCCGGCATTTAGATGTCAGCATCTTCATAAAGCGCGCAGCAGGTGCATCCTGATTGATCAACTCTTTGAAGAATTCCTGTACAAATGAAATCAATTAAATCAGTTTCAATTGGGGCACTTTATGCGAGTTGATGTAGTTCTACACATCTTACCCATGTCAGTCCATTTCTGCATGCATATTCCCATGATGCAAGGTATGTAGGGCAAAGGAATTCTTCAAGAACAATATAGGCAGACTCTGGATCCATGGCAAAGTTAAACTCAGCACACAGTGTCACATTCCCCTTTCCTGCAAAGACAAAAGCAAGCTATACAAGCTGAGAGGTATCAGAAACAGTCACTGTAATCATGTGGGGGTGTTACCTTCCATGTTGCCACCCATAATGTATAGATCTTTGAGGTTTTTGGGAAAACATGGATCCAGTCTAACAGCCAGTGCCAGATTAGTGAGCGGACCAAGGGCCACCAGTGAGACCTGTGGGAAGCACGTTAAAATACAGTGTCACAGGGCAGCCATGCATTCCAGACAGAGACTTCTCACCTGGTTCTGGTTTTCAGACACCAGTCGAATCATTGCATTGACTGCGTGCTCTCTCTGGACTTTCTTCTCCCACTGTAGATCTTTGTCTTCAATCACATCCCCAAGTCCATCGGTTCCGAAGTGGTCACTAAATGGGCTTCTGACTCCAACCAGAGGACCGCCAGAACCTTGAAACACTGCAATCTGCAGATAAAAACACATGTGGCCAAGTTAGGTATGAGGGCAGGGTTTGGACATCCTTAATCAAGATGAGCCCTTAGAGGCTGATTGTGCCAGTACATTTATCCCCAGGCTGAAAATATGACTGGGACTGGTTAGATCTTGAGAGGGATGAGGGAGAAACTGGCTTTGAGCAAGACCTCTCAGTTCTCCACCAGAAATCTCTGGCTTTCATGGACCAGAACATGAGGTGGTCTTTTTCCCAAAAAGTTCATCGTGCTGATTGGAAGAAACACTCATAAAGGATTCTGTGGAATAATTATTTAGGCAGGAAAACCTGTTGGAAAGTCAATCCACTCCGACACTATTAAATGGTAAAACAACAGTGTACAACAGTGTAATACCAACTTAGGACTTTTACACTTAAAATAGTTTATCTATTCATTTAAATAAGGCTAGTGTACTTACCCCACCCTGCTCACAGACAGAGAGGACCCTCAAAACATTCTGACACACATTCTCAACACCTGTGTTTCCAAACACACAGGTAATGCCCAGGATCTGAACGTGAGGTGCTGCCAAGGCCATCATTATAGCCTGAGCGTCATCTATGCCGCAGTCTGTGTCAATGATCACCAGCTTCTTTGCCATGGTCGCCTGTAAAATTCAAATGCTCAAAATTACTGTCAGAGCAATCCATTAAATCTTTCAAAGGCTGACTGGTTAAGAGACAAGTCTGCTCCAGCCACATTTAAAGATAAGAAAATACTACGTGTTTCTGTAGGGACCGTGTTCCTGTGGGTTTTCAGCTGTCCTTTTCAAGCAGGACAACTGTATAGGTTGTATATTTTCCCTTTATAATAAAGGAATATTTCTGCTCAGTGAGCCACCAAAACACATTCAGCCTCAGTGGCTGCTGTCTCTGGTGCTCAGGATACTCGCTGACATTGAGCTTCTTGCAGCAGACGATCCTACTGGAGGTTGGCTCCAGTAGCTTTCAGCCCAGAGTGAAACAGCCATTTAACGGTTAAGTTCACTGACTCTGGCTCTGGAGGCATTTGTTGTAGGGTGGAGTCTGCTGAGCTGGTGGCTATTGGCCTGTTTTATTTACCTTTTGCAAGTTGTTTTTTTTTTTTGGCTTCAGAGTTTAACTGCTTTTTTTTGTTTTTGCCAGTTATGAAGTCTGATTATTTTTAAATACATTTCATTTCTTTGATTGATTTGGCCATGTCACGAGCCAACAGCTTACAAGTGCAGATTCTTTAGTGCAGTCCTTATGCTCATTTTGCATCTCTTTGTGGCTTTGTTTTGCATCTGTTTTACTCATTTTGTGTTTATCTCGTTGATTGACTTTCCAAAAAGAAATGTTACCAGTCACTTTATACAGACACTCTGGTCCAGGGGCCTTGGGTCTGTGACCAGTAGGCCCGTTTAGTAATTAATCCATAGTACCTTGTGTGTCTTAGCGGACCTTTTGCTTCTCTCTGAGGCCGTTTAGTGCCTCTTTGTGGTCATATGTTTGACACATCCCTGTGGTCATTTCATGTCGCTTTTTGGTCACAGTTGTCTCTTTGTTGTTGTTTTGCACCTCTTCCTTGCTATTTTGCATCTCTTTGAATTTGAAGAGCCTCTGGTCCCTTGGGCAGTGCGTAGTGGGCCCATTCAGTAATTCATCCATGCTTCCACTGATTAGTACACACAATATATTTAATCTGAAATATTCTTGAGAATATAGGATATAATATAGGTATTGTATAATGGGCCTTTTCCTTTCTATTAGCTGGTTTTTCGTTTGTTTCAAGTTGCAAGTTCATAAACACTCAGAAAAATGCACACTTTCCATTATTAATGATGAATGACCACAGATTAAGTGCATGAGCCTGTCATGTGCCTCTCACCGCGAATCTTAGTGATGTGTTACTCGAACACTCTTTGGTTAAACGTTACTGTAGGAAGGCCTACGTCCATATTTTAGTATTTTTATTTATTTTACAGATGCTCGAAGATGTTGCTATCGTTGTAGCTTTTACAGGATTATCGTACACTAGTCACTAAACAGCGAACAAACTTACCTTCCACCTATAAAGTTTCAGGAGCTAATGATCCTTCTGTGATTGGTTTGAACTGCGGGATCAGTTCAAGGTCTGCTAACACGGATATGTAGGCACTGAGAAAGTGACATGCATATTTAAAGTAAATTGTGTGTATTGCAATAAAATACGGACTCGAATAAGCAAAATTATTTTTGTATTTGACATCATCACTGACATAAGTGGGGTTTATATATATACATATATATTATTGTCCAGCTTTAACTATTTTTTTTTCTGATGTTTTTCTGAACCTGCACAGGAAGAGGATTCGAGCAAGGAAGACGACGCTTTGGAATTTGTATCGTAAAATTTCAAGGTTTCCCCAGGTAATGTGTAACTAGGTCTAGTTATGTGCGATTAGTTTGACGTTTTGCCGTTTCACAATCCCATTGGTCTTAAATGATTGCACAATGAATGATGAAAAAAATGAATGTAACTACTGGGCGTGTTTTCATCTGCTAACTACAGTAACGTTACAGCACAGATGTAGCTGTGTTCTGGTCTCGACAACAGCAGATTCTTTGGTGAAATGTAAGTTAATGATTAATAACCCCAGAGTAGGAGCCACAGCAGGCTGTTTACAAAACAGATGACTTATTATAGGCTAAAACTAATGTTGTATGTTGCTGTGTTATGTCGCGCTAATTTACAGCAATGACATTTAAGGTTGTGATTTTGAACACCGTTGTACAAAGACTGATATGTGATCAGCTGTTCCCTGGGTCCACAGGTTTGGGCCTCTGTCACTTGCACCCCCATTTTCCTTTTATATCTTTGCACAGTTTCTAAAATGCCTGTCCTTTCATTCCCAGAAGAGATCAGCATCACAATCAGCCTCAGCCAGTTCTGTCATCCATCCATACAAGTGTTGAATGCCTAATACATCGGAAAGTTCAGGAGCAAACCTGGCCGGCCCAGCAGACGCCTCAGGGCTGCGAAGGCCCACTGATGGGCAGGAGGGACACAGTCTGATCAGCTCCTTCACCCGAGATGCTGCAAGAGCAAGGCGGGCTTCAAGTGCCGAGCTCCACCTGCCATGGACCTGCCCAGTCACACACTCCCGAGAGACGTTCTACACCGTCTGCTCTGATTATGCTCTTCTCAACCAGGCTGCTTCTGTGTACTGTCCCCCAAACACAGCCAGGGATGTGGTCCAGAACAAGCAAGATGAAGGACATCTGCTTGCGAAACCTAAACCCTCTGCAGACTTCACCACTGGTCAAGCTGGAGGTGCTCGCGTGGGATCAGACGGCGACTCTGACATGGAGGAAGTGTCCTCCATCAACCCTAAGCCTATTTTGGCCTGGGAGATTGACAAAGCAGACTTCAATGCTGTGCCCAGCAGAAAAATAAGAACAAGTAAGAACAAGTATTCTTGAAGTGTGTGATATTAATTTATACAACTGTAGAAAAGGTAACTGGCTGTTCCTGGTGTGCAGTCAGTTTGCTATCACCCAGTTACCATTCCTGTTTTAAATACCATGAAAGGCTTTTATCATTTACATGTTCTTTAATGCTTCAACAATTTAAGTCCCCACACTGACTAACACTGTTTTTCAGGCAACATGAAGAAATGCAGCACCAAGAAGATGAAGTCATCAGACCGACCCAGCCGAAATCTGCAAGACGTCCCTCCTCGTACGTCACTGGAGGAGATCAAACAGAGAAAAGTGCTTGACCTCAGGAGATGGTAATGGTAGATTTAGTACCTCACTGGTTTTCAAGAAACAGTGAAGTAAGTGTTACCTCAGGCTATAGTAATTTATGGAAAAATGAAGAGGCCAAGTAGTCACTGTGTCGCGTTTACAGTAGGTTCAGGAAAACTTAATGGTGCATAAACTAAAATTTTACGCACTAACGGATAAATCAAGTGAAAATGGGACAGGACGTGGAGCCTCCATGCTTTGCTGCCTACAGCACTTGTGTTATTCCAGCTTCTCTTGTTAGACACACACACACACACACACACACACCGATGGCAGCCCTGTGCCTGCAGGGCTCTGCTCTGGCCATCAGGGGGCAACTTGGGGTTCATTGTCTTGCCCAAGGACACTTTGACATGAGGACTGGGGAGAACGGGAATCAAACCGCCAACCTTCTGGTCACAGCCGGAGTAAATGGAGTAATTCAAACTTTGTGTAATGTTAGTGCTTTGTGTGACATAAACAGTAACCAGAGCATTGTACTGGGCTGACCAGTTTACTTGTTAGTGTTGAACTGGAGGCTGCCTTTCACACAGTTGTTACGACCAGGCATCCATAGTTTATGTCGTCGCTAGGAAACAGGAT